CTCTGATGCTGCTTGGCCTGCTGTGTTCATCCAGCTCTACACCTTGTTATCACAGATTCTCCAGCATCGGCAGTTCCTACTATCTCTAAAGGTATGGGTGCTTAGTTTTCTGCTTTTCTGGATTTGGAATAACACCACCCTTGTGCAACTAATAATGCATTAGCTGCTACTATTGTTGGTTGCACAATGAATCAAAGGGGACCATTCCAGGAGCAGCACTAAAATCCCTAAAAATGAAGTGTCAGTCTGGTGAAGCTACAAAACAGGACTACCTCCATGCCAAACAGTGTAAACAGCAAGCAATAGATAGAGCTAAGCAATTTCACAATCTCTGTAGACCTGTCACATACAGTCACGAATGGTGGTGGACAATTTAACAACTCACCAGAGGAGGAAGCTCCACAAATATCCCTGAATAATGGGGGTGCCCAGCACTTCAGTGCAAAAGTGCCAGGTGCATGATTCATCCAGAAGACCCCAGCATCATTGATGCCAGTTTTCAGCCAACTCAAGTCAGTCCACTTGATATCAAGAAAAGGTCAGAGGCACTGGATACTGCAAAGGCTATGGGTTCTGATAACATTCCAGCAATAGTACTGAAGATGTGTGTCACAGAACTGCTGTAGTCCTAGCTAAGTTGTTTCAGCACAGCTATGACGTTAGATTTTACACAGCAATGTGGAAATTTGCCCAGATATGTCCTGTACACTAAAAGCAGGACAAATTCAACCCAGGCAATTATTACCACCTCATTCTACAGTCAATCATGAGCTATATTATGGAAGCTGATACAAAATTCTATCAAGCAGCACTTATCATAACCTTCTCACTGAACTCAGTTTGATTGCAAAGCTCCTGATGTCATTACAGCCTTAGTTAAAGATTGACAAAAGAGCTGATGCTGAGGCATGAAAATGACTGCCTTTGACAACAAGGCAGCATTTGTCCAAGTGTGGCATCGAGGAGCCTAGCAAAACTGGAGCCAATGCAAACTGGGGGAAAACTCTTTGCTGGTGAAATAATATATGACACAAAGGAGGATTGTGTGGTTTTTGCAGATCAGTCATTTCAGCTGCAGGACATTTCTGCAGGAGTTCCTCAGGGTAGTATCCTAGGCTGAACCATCTTCCTCCACCATAAGGTCAGACGTGGAAGTGTTCACTGATGATTGCACAATGTTCAGCACCCTCGTGGCTCTTCAGATTCTGAAACAATCAATGTCCAAATGCAGTAAGACCTGAACAAAGTCCAGATTTGTGCCAGACAATGACCATCTCTGACAAGATAGAATCTAACAATCGCCACTTGACATTCAATAATATTGCAATCACCTATTTGAATCCCCCACTAGCAACATCCTGTGGGTTGTCATTGACCAAAACCTGAACTGGACTACCCATACATATCCAGTAACTACAAGAGCAGGTCAGAGAATCCTAAAGTGAGTAATTCATCTCCTGACTACCCAAAGTCTGTTCACCATCTACAAGGCACACATCAGGAATGTGTTGGAGTACTCCCCATTTGCCTGGATGCAACAGTCAAATAGCTTGATTCCATCTAGAGCAAAGCAGCTGCTTGACTGGCATCAAATCCACAAACATTTACTCCCTCCACCACCAACAGTAGCAGCAGTGTGTACAATCTCTAACATGTTCTACAGAAATTCACCAAGGCTCCTTCAATAGCACTTTCCAAGTACCCGACCACTTCCATCTCAAAGGACAAGGGCAGTAGATACATGGAAACACCTCTACCTGCAAGATGCCTTCCAAGTCACTCACTGTCCTGACTTGGAAATATATTACTTTTCCTTCACTCTCACTGGGTCAAAATCCCGAAACTCCCTCCCTCACTGCATTGTGGCTCTAAATCAACTGCAGTGGTTCAAGAGGTAGCTCACCAACATTTCGAGAGCAACTAGGAATGGACTGTAAATGTTAGCCCTGCCAGTGAAGCCCACACCATATGAGTGAATTTAAAAAATTGCAGGTTTTCAATGAGCTAGAATTCCTGATGCTATTTCCTTTATTTTCTCAAAGGAGTTCCTATTTGCATTCAAACACCATACTTGATGCTGTCCAATGAGTTATCATAATGGTTAATTCATTTCAGAGATTTGGCAAATTCTTGCTTGGTTTTCTAATCCCACGAACCTCTGCAATTCTGTGGCTCTTCTGAGTAATAGGATCACTTTGAAATCTCAGGTCTTCTGTGCTCTACTGTAAAGCCTGTTGCCTGAACAAGATGCCCCAAGAATTTGATAGCAAGTTCCTAAGGGCCTTAATTCTAGCTGAAGGCCTGCCAGTGCCCTCACCACTGTTTGACTGGCTTGTGGTTTGCAGGCCTTTCCATAGAGAAGCGGCACAGGTCTGCAAACGGATATCCAGCTGGCAGCTGAGACAGCAACAAGGTTCTGCCCTTATTTTGCCGTCAGTACAGAAGATTTACAAGGAGGTAAATAGAGTGCAGGTCAAGTCGAAACTGTCCAAAGTTCCAATAACGGCTAAGGTCATGAGATCTTAGTGAACTAAATTAATTTAAAACTCTGAATGCCTTTCATTTCTCCATTCTCACAAGGAATGCTTAAACATGCATCTTCTAGAGACAGCAGCCTCTGCTTTCCTTTCAATGCCAAATTTCCTGGCTCCTCAAAGTATGTAACAACACCACATTTTAAATCAGGTGGCTAATAGCCCATTCAGTGTGCCATTCATCCACCACCTTAAAAAGTATGCTGCGTGGCAGATGATTTCCATTTTCCCATGTTTATCACTTTCATCATTAGACCCCTTCCTGTCCATCGCTAGGGGGATTGGGGAGAGGAAATGAGGGTTAAGAGAAGTTAAAGCGTTGGGAGAAACGCTACAGAATGTGGGTTTGAGATACTGATGGACATGGCTTACGTTAGCCCGAAGTGGCTATCTAACTAGAGTGAAGAGCAGAAAATCAAACAATCATGTCTAACAATGAGACTAGTGATTATAATAATCACCCCAACACACTTCCCATTTTAGCACAGTAGTTGAGTGCTACATAATCCAAACAAAAGCAGATGATTACCACCTTTAATGTCATTTGTGAAGTAGGACTGTAGTTTCATTTAGCTAATTGGTTGGTCGTGCGCTGAATTCACAGAGCATCAGATATGACGTACATTTTGTCAAAGGGCAGAACCTAATACATGCACAATATAACACAAAATATGACATTAGCTAATACAAATAACTGCTAGATGCTAGAAATCTGAAACAAAAATAGAAATAGCTGAAGAAACTCAGCAGGTCTGGCAGCATCTACAGAGAGAAAGCAGAGTTAACATTTCACGTGTCTTTCCTTAGAGCTAAAGCTTTTTTTGATCATAAAAAAACATAGTCACTAAAGCAGTTTGGTTCTGTACAGTAGCATATGAAGAAAACAAATAAACATTGGAGTTTGACTCGATCCAAACAAATAAACCGAAGGCATTTCTTGTGCAAGTGCAAGATTATATTTACATAAAATTGAAGTACCAGGACAGTCCAATAACTGAACACACCCCCATTTTAACTTTGGGAGAAGGACCTCAGGCAGTGGTCTTTCCCCTCAAGAAGGGTCACTGGACCTGAAACACTGACTCTGCTTTCTCTCCACAGACATTGCCAGACCTGCTGGGTTTCTTCAGCTATTTTGGTTTCTGTGACATTAGCAAAGGTTGATGCTGTGCATAAATCATACACAGTTAACTTGTATTTTAATTATACACAGTAACAAGCTCTGTTCACATTGTATTGTATTGTTGCAATCACAAGTCATTGTTTAGGTCCTAGGCTTTGCATTGAGGAAGTGTACCGCTCACCTCTGCCCATGATTGACAGCTTGCTCTTACTCCTCTTCTAAGACCACCAATGCTTCCTGGTTGTAGTCAGTGTTTGGTGGTACCGATCTCTCAAGTCTCCTTTGACTGCCATGGTTTTGATGCTGATCCCGGTTCAGTTCTGTCGTTGCATCAGTGAGCTGCAACAGTCAAAGCCAAGGAAAGTGAAAGTTATCTTTTTTCCTCAATAATGTTAATTCAAAGTCATTATGAGTGAAATATTCAGTGAGTGCATTGCCCCAGTGCAATTAGTCCACTTGCACAAAATCTGTCTATTGATTTGTTCATAAGTTTGCTGCTCTGAGGTGAGGTAATGGTATAGAAGTGCTGAAATTTCCTTCGGGACTCATTAGGTGACAAAACCGATGTGGCTTCCTCTACATAAGGGAGACCAAGTGGAGGCTTGGGGACCGCTTTGTACAGCACCTGCACTCCGTTCGAGACAAATAACAACACTTTACAGTCGCGAACCATTTCAACTCTCCCTCCCACTCCCTGGGTGACATGTCCATCCTGGGCCTCCGTCAGTGTCACAATGACGCCACCCAGAAACTGAAGGATCAGCACCTCATATTCTGCCTCGGGAGCCTACAGCCCAATGGCGTAAATGTAGATTTTACTAGTTTAAAATCTCCCCACCCCCTGGCCTCATCCCATGTCCAACCCTCCTTCTCATCCCCGCCTCCTTGACTAAACACAACCTGTCCATTTTCTCTCCCACCTATCTGCTCCTCCCATGTCACTGACCAATCCCCACCACTCCCTACCTGCACTCACCTATCACCATCCCACCTACCTTTCCCAGATCCACCCCTCCTATCTCTATTTATTTCTGAGCTTCCTTCCGCACCCCCCGTCCATTTTTGAAGAAGGGTCCCGACCCGAAACATCATCTTTCCTGCTCCACTGATGTTGCTGGCCTGCTGCGTTTCTCCAGCTCCACAGTGTGTTATTTTTAACAAAGCATTCCTACCTGCTATCCAACATCTAAGGTTGCAAGCAAGTACCTACAGATATCGGATGAGGGCAGGAAGAAGGTTCAGTTATAAATTCATAGAGTCATACAGCATGGAAACAGACCCTTTGCTCCAACCATGATCCCAAACTAAACTTGTGTCACCTGCATATGCTTGGCCCATATCCCTCCAAACATTTCTTATTCATGTATTTATCTTAATGTCTTTTAAATGTTGAAACTGTACCTGCATCCACCACTGCCTCTGTAAGTTCATTCCACACACAAACCACTCTGTAAAAAAAATTGTCTCTCACATCTTTTTTAAAATCTTTCTCCTCCCACCTTAAAAACATGCTCCCTGATCTCGAAATTGAGGGTGAATAGCCTGTGGGTAAAATTGCCAATAGCCATCTTGTGAAGGCATCAACTCCTTCACTTGAAGCAGGGGTCTGCAAGTAACATTTACCACCCTACCCGATCCATATGATCATCAATCAGCATTTAACTTTGTCAGTATTTGTTCTCAGACATTTTAGTTTGGGTAGTCACACCATAGTGAGTAGATGGAATGGAAAAGGCTCAGATAGGATTATTTACTTTTCTCCAAGACCAGCAGCAGCAGGTTTGATTTTCTTTCCCTTCCAAGGAAACCTTGGACCATCCCTGCCCTGGGCCTTAACCACTTCATTTCATGACCACAATTATTACCTGCCTATCCCTGATCAATTTACCAGGATACTGCAAACTGTTTTATTGAACTTCTAATGATAGCTGTCTGTCAGTTAAATACCAGCTCCCACTCAAGCTGGGGAGTTATTCCCACCAGTTCTAGGCAGAAATTGAAGCCACATTCTAGTCATGAAGCCCAGGAATTTGTATTTTTTGATCCTTGGGTACCTCTGACATAAAAACCTTCTGTTTATCTCACCAATTCCATAAAATCACACCCAATGAGTCTTAACATCCGCAAAACCTGACGACATAGCAAAAGCTCAAAAGCAGATATTTATTCCACCAAATTTAATTCATATAACATGCCATGAAGCAGTCAAGTAAACAAATAGTTAAATCCTCACGTTGTTGTGGAAAATGGAATCAATACTTGTAACTGGACTGACATTTTCCACCACTGCCAATAATTCTTGTCTGGAAAATTCTGTGTCCACTAACAGAGTGTTTGAAATTCCTTTCCTGAAAAGTCAGGGGGAAATGCAGAATCTTCAAATATTTTTAAGGCAGAGGCTGGTAGATTCACGATTACTAAGGAGATGGAAGATATGTAGGAATGGAGAGCTGAGATAAAAATCAAATCAATCATGATCTTATTGAATGGTAGAGCTGACTCAAATCACCATGTGGCTTACTCTTATTTCTTGTTGCTATGATGTTATTAATGCTGTTCTCTCACTAAAGATTAATAGTTTGCAGTGCAGTTATCCAGTCTGCCTAATAATTCACATTCAGTAAAAAGAAGTCTCCATTTTAAACTCTACTTTGAGCAATCCAAGGTCACAGACAAAATTCCTTGCTTGTGGCACAGAATTAATCTGCACCTGACAATCCAACAACTTATTCTGCCTTTAAAGAGACCATTCTATCCATTATTACTTTCAGTTGCACATTATTGTGTGCAATCTGGAGACCATTGGTTGGTAAAACCATGGCTACTGTTTGCATGGCCTAATCTGGATGCACAGAGACTCACTGTAATATGCTTAGCACCAACACAGATTGCATCTGGTGGTGAATAAATGTGAGCTACCAAGCTCTACACACTGTTTCTAAACTCAATTTTATTTCAATCAGAATTGCACAATGTGAATTCAGATGTGGAAGTTAGTAGACCCTACAAGATAGAGAATCTAGTGAGTCCACCATGGTCCTGATGGGTTGTTGCTGTTCACAAAGTTCCTCCAAAGGACAAAAAAAATCTACTCTATGGCACTTTTGTTCAAATTGTTTTCACAGTGGGACAAGCAAAATTGAAGTAGAGTACACATTTCATACAGAGTGAACAGATACGAGTTTGGTGAATGCTGATTTTTAAGTTTCAATATTGTTCTAAAAATCCAGTTTGATCTGCAACTATTATTTTAGTGGCATATGCTGTGCTAAGAAAATAAAGTACATTAAAAAAGCAAATTTCATTTTTATAGCCTCAGGCAAACATAAATAAACTCTATTGGAGAAAAACTGATTAATTCATGAGATAATGAGTGCAATCTGGTTGCTGCAGCTCAGCTATAAAGAGTATAACGAAAGGAGGCATGGTGGTGGCACAGTGATAATGTCACGGGACCAGAAATCCAAGCTATTGTCCTGGGGGCAAAGGCTCAAATCTTATCATGACAATGGTTAAAATTTGAATTTAATTTTTTAAAAAATCTCCAAAGCAATGTGGTTGTCTCTTAACTGCCCTCTGAGCAATTAAGATGGATAATAAATGGTGGCCCAGCCAGTGATGCCTGCATCCTGTAAGCAAATATTTTAAAAAAGACCATTATAGTGTCAACATCACCCACTGTATTCCACATCAGCTCACAGACTGATAGTTGCACATTTAGGGCAAATGAAAAGAGATGGTGTTTACTTAACTGTAAAATGTAGCATAGTTCAATGAATGTAAAAGTCAGAGTAAAGCTGTTTCAGCAGGAAGCTCAAATCTCTCATATTTTGCTGATTGCACTTCTTTGCAGGTCAACTATAATTAATCTCTCTTCTCTTTAGCAGAAAAGTAATTTTCCTAGAATTTCTATAAAGTTATTTAACACCTATTGAAATGTGTTTTGGCACTGACTTAAGGATAATCTCAAATCTAGATGAAAACTGAATATTGATGTTGATTATCTGTGCCATCTAGGATACATTTATCCTAAGAATTACATTTTACTTTCAAGATGCCAATTATTATAATGTTAGTTTTCTATTTATACCATGACTGTAAAGAATTAAATCCCATATGCAGACAGTGAACAACAGTTTTCACTTTGGGTTGCAGAAATCTGGGCACAAAATGCATTAAGTTTTAGGTGTGTTTTATTCACCTTTAGTGCTTGAACTTCACATCACTTAATGCTGTCATGTAATGATTGTACTACTGAACAAGTCAGATCCCAGAGTGAGACTTGGCTTGTAAACTATCAGTTTTATTTCTGTTTTCCATAGAATACAATCCCTGAACATGAAGCAGTCAATGTACTTTTAATAAAGAACACGAAAGTTTATTACCCAAAAGAAAAACACAAACTATATGTTAGACAAGAACATACTGTGCATACTTCTGACATTTCAACCAGTTTATATATTAAAAACACTTTACCCAAGTGCTCTTGTTGGTGAGGTGGACATTGAGACACATTTAGTTTGCGGTTCAACTCATTTTTATTAACAAAATATTCCTTGTTAAAAGCACCACGTGAGTAGTTCCCAAATTCCCACAATATTGACTCTCTATCTATCTGTATTTGCCCGAGAAAAGATATTGCTTACAATGACCCATGTGTTTGAGCTGGGCCATTGGAATCTCCTTCCTCATCAGTGAAGGCCTGACTCTTTTCCACGAAGGTAGGTCTCACAGGTCAAGGTCAAGGCCGCACATTTTTCTCCCACAAGTCTTACTACCACTCTTTCTTGTGAGTCTTCACTGAGAGGATGGCATCCAGGTGTATGTTTTTATTCCATTTGCCCTGGGCCTTCCTGAATGTTCTGTGGCCTTTGGCTAATGGGGTCATGAGCAGGGTTCAAAACATCCAACGGGGTAGCACCAAAGCCCTTCACTGTTGCCATGCCAAGAAGGTGTAAACAGCACATTCTCAGGCACTGGCTGGCAGTCAAGATGCCAGAAGGTCTGATCCATACTTCTCCAACTCACAATTGTAAAACGCATTCCTCTGACACCCCTCACAGCCTTCTGCTTTGATATATATCTTCTCACTGATTTCTAAGCTGCTCAGAACTTGTCCTCAGCCCTGACTGCTTGGAGACTGCTAGTAATAACAGCTCTGCTATTATAGACCTCTCCCCCTCACATAAACCTACTTCTGAAACTCTCTCTCTCCCTCTGGTAGCCTCTTCTAGTCAACAAACACCTTAGCAAGTATCTCCTGAAGTGGTTTACTGCTCATTTAGCTAAAACCAGACGACTTTGCATAAATGTTGTTTTGAACTCAATGTCCAAAATGATGCTCTGACCTTTGAAAAAAAAAAATCAGATCTTCACAGAACTGAAAAATTAAAATTCATTTCTCTGCCACTTTAGAATCTAGCCTTTCAAATAATATTAATATACTATGAATCTTTATAATAATGTCACATTTTCCATGAAACAATGCAACTGGACAGTAGTGTGGAATGTCACAACATGGTAACTTGATATCTCCTCAACCTGAATTAGGTAACCACCTAATGTTCTCTGTTCCAGCAAAAAGAATCCCTCGTTCCTTGTGACATCATGGTAAACCTCTTCCATATCCTTTCTAAGGCTTATACACCTTTCTGGAGTGTTAGAACATAGAACAGTACAGCACAGTACAGGCCCTTTGGCCCACGATGTTGTGCCGACCTATTATCCTACTAAGATCAATCTACCCTGCATACCCTACATTTTACTATCCTCCATGTGCTTATCCAAGAGTCATTTAAAAGTCTCTAAAGTATCTGACTCCACTACCACTGCTGGCAGCGCATTCCACACACCCACCACTGTGTGAAGAACCTACCTCTGACATCTCCCCTATACCTTCCTCCAATCACCTTAAAATTATGCCCCCTTGCAATAGTCATTTCCGCCCTGGGAAAAAGTCTCTGGCTATCCACTCTATCTATGCCTCTCATTTTCTTGTAAACCTCTATCAAGTCAGCTCTCATCCTTCTTCGCTCCAATGAAAAAAGTCCTAGCTCCCTCAACCTTTCCTCATAAGACCTGCCCTCCAGTCCAGGCAGCATCCTGGTAAATCTCCTGTACACTCTCTCTAAAGCTTCCACATCTTTCCTGTAATGAGGTGACCAGAACTGAACACAATATTCCAAGTGTGGTCTAACCAGAGTTTTATAGAGCTGCAGCATAACCTCACTGCTCTTAAACTCAATTCCCCTGCCAATGAAAGTCAACACACCACACGCCTTCTTTACAACCCTACCAACTTGGGTCACAACTTTGACGGATCTATGGATGTGGACACCAAGATCCCTCTGTTCCTCCAAACTGCCGAGAATCTTGCCATTAACCCTGTATTCTGCATTCAAATTCGACCTTAAGGGTTTACCCTTAAACTATGATCATGGTTCCAAACTCCCTCACCACTGGGGGCATCCTCCTACATCTAACTTGTAAACTCTTGTTCAAATTTTAGGTTTGAGAGATCCCCCTCATTCTTCTAAAGGAGAGTGAATACACAATCTTAACCAACTCAATTCTTTGTATATCAGTCCAAGAATTAGTTTGGCAAACCTTCACTACACCATTAGTGCTTCCTTCCTCCAATAAAGGAGACCAAAATTGCACACAATATTCCAGAGATCTGGTCTCACTAGTGTCCTGTATAACTGCAAGGCATCCTTATTCCTGTCCACTCATCCTCTCACTAATGCTAACATACAGTTTGTTCTCTGTATTACTTGTTGCAGTGACAGGCACTCCAGGATATCCATACTGAATATTGCTGTCCCCCTGCCTCAATTTACCAAAAAAAATCTTCCTATTTTTGCTACTAAAGTGGAAAACCTCACATTCATTTTATACTGTATCTGGGATGTGTTTACCCACTCAGCTTGTCATTGTCCCAGAATTGGTGACATTACTCTATTTGAAGCCAAATCAGTGATTTACAGAGGGTGAGACTGTTCTCTTTGCAAATTCAATGCATCTATTTATAAATTCAAGTGTCTTATTTACTTTGCTGAACCATTTCATCAACTTGGCCTGACACCTTCATGCATTTGTCTGTATGGATACCAAGATTGCTTTGCTCATCTATACTTCGCAAAACTGCGTAATGTATGGTAGTATGGTATATTATTCATATTTAAAGTTTTTGAGAAGATTTATAGCTTGGGTTGTGGATGAGGTTGTAGACTTGCTCACTGAGCCAAAGTGTTTGATTGCAGACATTTCGTCACCCTGCTAGGTAACATCATCAGTGAGCCTCCGGTGAAGCGTCAGTGTTCTGTCCTGCTTGTTATTTATATGCTTCAGTTTGCTAGGGTGGTTGGCGTTACTCCCAGTTCTGTTTTTCAGTGGTTTGTATTTCGGGTCCAGTTCAATGTGTTTGTTTATGGAGTTCTGGTTGGAATGCCAGACCTCCAGGTATTCCTTGGCATGTCTCTGTTTGGCTTGTGCTGGAGGCCTAGCATTCCAACCGGAACTCTATCCACTAAAACATTGAACTGGACCCAATATACAAACCACTGAAAAACAGAAACGGAAGTAATGCCGGCCACCCCAGCAAACTGAGGCATATAAATAACAAGCAGTGCAGAACACCAACACTCCACTGGAAGTGGACTGACAATGTTACTTAGCAGGGTAACGAAGCGTTTACAATCAAACACACCGGCTCAGCGAGCAAGTCTACAAACTATTCATATTAGATTAATCAAAATGCATCACTTCACACTTTTCCACAGTGAACTCCATTTGTTATACTTCTTCCAATTTTATTCTGTCATCCTAAAGACGATAACACGCCTCACCACCACTTGTTACTCCAGCAAGTTTTACATCAGCTGAAAACTTTAGAATTCTGCTCCTTATACCCGAGACCAAGTCATTTATAAACTTGGAAACAGTGTTGAACTCATAGCTGACTGCAAAACACGTCCCAAACTGAGAAGTACCCTTGTACTTAAAATAAAGTAACAAGTCTCTTTGAAGGGCCACAAACAGGCAATGACGATTAATTTAATCAGGGTGTGGCTCACATCAGCTAAATAAATCAGCATTTACGGCAAATATGAGATTGTGTGTGTCGGTTTGGCCAATTTTGGACAAATTGCACTGATAAAATCTGCAGAGTTTCACATAAATTCCAAGCCAATATCAGAATACTTCACATTAAATCCTTCACAACGTAAAACTGAAGCTTTGAAAACAACTGGAAAACATTCTGAGGATGGCAAACAAAATAAGTTATTAAAGCCAAGTTTCTGAGTACAGAATGACTAATTTACCTCATTGATCCCCAGAGCTTCGTTTTCATGGATTGTGGTTATTGAGTGACGCGGCTTCACAACATAGAAATGGAGAACGATAATAAAAATAAAAGTGTGGAATTGAAACTGGTTGTTCAAACACTACAGCAGATTGACACACACCGTCAGCTATATTTTGTGCATATTCTGGGCTTTTCTTATAAACCATTCCTTTAAGCTTATTTTGTACTTAAATAGCATCTGAACAATTAATTGAGGAAAACCAAAACGAGTTAGTCACATTAAGACGGAAAATGTACAACTTAAGTGAGCGGAATTTCTAGTCACTCGCCCTGCTGTCTAAGTCGTATCTTGTGAGTATGTATAATACATCCTCAGTTGAATTACACAGTTACAGTCATTTACTTGAAGAACTGTACATGCAGTTTTGTCTTTAGTTGCTGCTAGCCAAATTGCTGAAAATTTCATTGATTGCAGGATGATACTGTGGTCGAAAATTTCCTTCCATTTGCTCTGCTGAACACAACGGGTGAGCGAGTGCAGTACTTAACCTTTCAGTCCCAGTTAAAATGCACAGATATTTTAGAATGATGCCAAAAGCATACCAACTCCATACATAAATGTGCTCACTCATATCTTGCAGCTCGAGACAGCAGAAACCTTCACTGGGGACAAATTCCTGGTACCAGTTTAGAAAATTATTTGACCTTTTGTTTCTTTATCCACTTTCAGTTTTCTCCTTCTCTCTTAGTTCAATACCTGCACAAGCACCTTCTAATTCTTTGCTCAATTGGACATTTTCCATTTGGTAGCTTTTAAATTGGTAGCAGTTCAGCGTTAAACAACGGAGAAGTGCTTAGAGAAGCACTGACATTACCCTAATTAATGTGGCACATGCACACGTACATTTTCCAGCAGGAACAACTGGATATCAAAGATAGTCAATTTGCATTATGTTCTCATTTTCAATCGAAGACACTGAGGGCAATTAGAAAGGGTGCAGAGAAGATTGACTAGAATGGGAACAGAGATGCTGTATTTTACATCCAAGAAAAGGGTACAGAAGCAGCTATTGTCCCTTTAGAGCAGAAAAGGAGAAGGGGAGACTCAATAGTGAAATTCGCAATCAGAAATAGCTTTAACAAAGTGAACGAAAAAGAAGCTGATTCCATTGATAGGAGGATCAGCAACTAGAAGATATGGAAACTAGGTGATTGGCAAAAGAACAGGTGGTGATATGGGGAGAATGTCTTTTATGCAGCGAGTCATAATGGTCTGGAATGCACTGTCAGAAACGGTGATGTAAATAGATTCAACAGTATCTTTCAAAAGGGAACTTATTCAGTGTTAGACAACAGGCATGCCATACTTAGTAAAGGTTACACATCATAGATAAGGGGTTAATGAAGGTGACTGCGATGTAAAGTCTGGTTTATGACATCGTAACATTTGTACAATGACACTGAAGGTTATTGTTTATTTGATTACTCAATCAGAAAATAGATTATACTCCATGTTATATATTAATTAAATTGAACATGAAAACTACTGCAATGAGTTTACTGCCAGTGTGCAAATATTGTGTGCCTGTATGCATCACCAAGTGTTGAAAATTCAAAAATTATCATATTATCAAGTACAGAAAAACTGTTGATTGGAATGATACAAAATGAATATAAGAATTAGATCTAGGAGTTGCTTGGACCAGACAGAACTAATGGTGGGAGCTGCCATTGGCATGTGCAGGAAGCAATACATAGATACCATGCAAAATCAGAGCACAACGCTGGCAGCAAATGACGCAGACCAACACCCAACCTTATTTACACAGACCTACGTTCGTCAGAATTGTTAATAGTTCTCTCTCCTCAGATACTGCTCTCTTTCATTCAAATCTGTTTTCGTCATCCCTTTCCTCAAAAATTTATTTTTGACCTCTCTGTACCTGAAAAAAACCATCATTTCCAAACTGCCTTCTTCTCTCCACAATTTACTATTGGGTTAAATAATAACCAAAGGCAGGGAACAGCCTGATTCAGCCACAGAAAGTTTTCAGGGAGATGGATTGATTCGGCTGCAAGGGAAAAAAAAACTTTGGGGCCTGACATATTGGCTTTCATTTGCCAAATATTTAACTTTGGGATAAGTTCTGTTCATCCAGTACTGGATCTTTGGTAAAAAATCTGACAACTTAGAGATAGTGGAAGAGTCAAGAGAGTTGAAAGCAAAGTAGAGCTGGCTGTCATCAATATTCACATGAAACAATGTGTCTCCATGCAATAGCATTGAGCAGCATATAGATGAGAAACAAGAGCGGGCCAAGCATAAATCCTTCCTTGAGGGACACCAGTGGTAACAATGCAGGAGCAGAAAGAGAGTTATTGCCTGTGATTTTCTAGCTATTGCTGCAATTTGATAGATAAGAATGGAATCGGTAAGCGTGCTTTCATCTAGTTGGATGACAGAAATACACGAGCAACACTTTGCATGGCAATAATAACATTAGACAAGCCAGAAAGACCCAAATATTTGATCTGTGCTCAATTTACAGATCTCAGACACTCAGATAGCACTTAACAGGACAGCACAGTTGTTCAGTAGTTAGCACTGCTGCCTCAAAACACCAGGGACCAGGTTTGAGTCCAGCCATGGGTGACTATGTGGAGTTTGCATGTTCTCCCCATATCTGCATAGGTTTCCACTGGGCGCTCCGGTTTCCCCTCACAGTCAAAGGATGTGCAGGTTAGGTGGATTGGTCATGGGAAAAGCAGGGTTATGGGGATAGAGTGGTGACTGGGGCTCAGTGGGATGCTGTTCAGGGGGTTGATGCAGACTCAATAGACTGAATGACCGCTTTCCACATTCTAGGGATTCTATGATTCTAACATGGTCCAGTTAGCCTCAATATCACTGATCCCCAGATCCCATCAAGTAGCCCTCACTAGAAAATAAAGCAAGACTGAAATGAAAGTGGATTTGGGCTTTGTTGTGACAGCCCACCCCTTCTCTTACTGCAGATATCAGTGAAGAGTCAGTCAAAACTTAATATTGAAGCTGACACTTGAAGAAGAATCACTTTATTCAAGTGATAACCTAATCCTGCAGAATCATATCACAGTATTTTTCCAAGCACAGTAATAGAAGATAAAATTCAAAATGATTCATTTATGGGATAAAAGTGATGCAGTTTAAAGTGGCTTGTAAGTTTTCTCTATTCACATCTGGCCATATTTTATGATTCTGTTTAGTTAAAGATTCTTAGGTCAGATTGCCCGGTCCTCAATTTGTAACAGTTAACTTCAAGCACCGAAAGGATTGGCACTTTACTTTGTGGTGATGAGTTAAATAATGAAGTAGTGACCAGGTGTTGTCAAAAAATTGCCTCTATAAAATAAGTTATAAGATTGTCACAGGAAGAAAGAATTTTAGCTTTCAAAGATTTAAGAAAGCAGTGATGAAGAAAGTACAGGACTGTGGAAAATAGAACGAACCAGGAAACAACCAATAACCCACTTCTGGAACTTATTTGTAACCAGTTTGTGGGAAGTGGGATATGTTCACACACTTTTGCTTCTTACAATGTAGCTGCAGAATTCCTTTATTATTTTTAGGAATTTTATTTATCCTCCAACAGAAAATAAAATCACCCTTCTAATCAAGCCCTGTGCTAGATAGGAATGATTTCAATATCACATCACAAACAATGTACTTTTAATAGATTTCCAACTAATCTCACAGTTATTTGACGGGGAAACTAGAACTGAAAAGGCAATGCTGTTTTCGTTGTGTAAGTCTTCATAAATCTAGACTGTGAAATATGAACTATATTTACATAACTAAGCAGTTCATGCAGTCAGAGAATACAAGAGTAGCTTTCGTCTGGCACATATTCACTGAGAAATGTGTTTGACTCTTAATTATCTTCTCAAATGGCCTAGCAAGATACTTATTTATATTCAAGGCAACAAGTCATCACCACATTCTTATGCACATCCGAAATGGGAAATAAATACTGGCATCACCAGCAATACCAATTTCTCATAGAGGATTTTGTTTTAAAAATGCATGTTATTTCTTTGTTTAATAACATTCATGCATGAACTCAGTTGAGTGAAACAATTAGCCAGAACAGAAAAACACTTCAAAGCACAAGAAAGCATCACTGATCAGCTTCTCACCTTAATGTACAGAGAGTGGAGACTGCGAGAGAGGTTAGAGGTCATGTAGTAGTTACATGGGGCAATTGGAGAGAAACGAATTTGTGATCCAGAGGTTAGACAAGTGACAGGTGAGAGTGACAGTGGAATTGACTGGGACATGTCTTGAGAGCACAGCATGGGCTGGTACTTTTTGCGGCACAAACTGGGATATGAGACAGAAGTTAGGATGGTGGATAATGGGCACAGCCACTGTTGAAGAAGAGCAAATAATAAAACAGATGGAACAACATTTTGAATGAACTCCTGCACTCAGTAAAAATGCACCTGAAAACGTTAATGGACATAAGCTTGTCTAAAATAAAGTCGGTTTAAGTATATAAAAGGATTTTTTATTAAAATCAAAACCTCTGGCAAAATATCTCAATAAAATTCTCAACAGGAATTTAATTCTATAAAAGACTATTAGATAGATCACATATCAGTAACAATCAACAGAAAAGACCTATTATGTAATGCTAATTGAAAATTAAACAACAAAAAATTTGACCATAATTTGACCCTGTGCACGAAAGGATATTGAGTATGTTTGAGTACAATGTAGCAGAAAATTGTTTTGAGCTAAAGTGAAACTGAATTGAAAAATTCTACAGCACACCCATTACACCAAGGAGTGAAGAGACATCTGTAGCCGTATTTAACATCAGAGCTGAATTTTGGAAAGCACCTTTTTTGGCTAGCTAATTCACCTCAGCTGCACTTAAGTCAACTGTTTAATGGATAACTTGTTCAACAGATAATTTGGGGAGACTCTCAGCCTGGCTTGCTGTGTTCTTCCAGCCTCCTGTTTGTCTACCTGGATAATTAGGGGAAATAGTTAAAGGTCAAATTAACCAAAACCATTTTTAAATGACAAGTTTTGTTTTCAGTTTGTTACCTTTTAGGCATAACACATCACCCTCACCCTAACCCTAACCCATTGATTTTTCACTAAACTTTCCTCAAGTGCATGAACCTTCATTGAAAATGCCGTTGCCACACAAGCTGCATAATGATTATTAGAGAAATTTCACTCTCAGGAAGTAGCAGTATTGCAATGCTAATGTTATGCATCATAATTTTTGATTATAATGGTAGTTGAAATCAATATCAATTTGCCACCAGTCACATTGTAATACACTGCACACTTGGCCGTAAATTTATGTACTTTTCCTGACAGTGCTAAGCATTTTATTTTTGGTACAGAATATTAAATAAAACCAGTGCCATAAGATAGCAGATACAGATACTACTACCTCAGATTTAAAACACTAACTTTAAGATAGTAAAATGAAATGAAAAAAATTGCTACTAATGGTATAGCACAACACATATGACTGAGTTCAAATTATCACTTTTCAGTGAACAGCAGCATCAACTACAAATTCACATTTTAACTGTCTGCTTTAGTTAGGTTCAAATCACTATAAAACAGAAAGTTAGGTAAAGGTACATATGAATAGGATAAAACAGCAAGCAGACAAAATTTCACTCACATTGCATGTCTTTAAAGGATAATTCGGGATCATAACAAAGAGAATATTTGATGGTTCAGTGCAACTTGTTCCAGCCTCAGCTTTTTAAGTTGCATACCTCAGTATCACCATATTCTTCAGGGTGTTTTCTGAACGGGTTGTGATTGTTCTCTTTCATCTTTGGAACTGCAGGCACCTTCTGAACAATAGTAATTGGACGAATCACACCAGGTCTCGTCTGGACTCAAAAGGTGAAAGAAAAATAATGCAGATTTAATATGGGAGTGTCCTGTTCATACAGTAATCAATAGTATTAATAATTACACAAATTATCTCAAAAGCCTTAAAATTATGCCATGGCATACTCGTGTAAAAACTATTAGCAGATTTAAAATTCTTTGCTCTATTACTGTATGTTAACAGAGGAATTAACTATCATTTAACAAAAATAGGACAGAAAATAACTGCATAATCATCTGTTCAAATAAATATCAAGTAAATAATCATATACATTAATGAAAGAGGAAAAGAAGATGTCGAGAAGAAAAGAAAAAAGAGAAAGGAAGTGCGAGAGAAATTTCTTCAGGCAGAAGGTGGTAAGTCTTTAGAGAAAGAAACAGAGAAAATGCTTGAAGCCACAATATGACTCTTCTTCAGTCCTAAAGAAGAGTCATACTGTACTCAAAATGTTAATTCTTTTTCTCTCTCCACTGATGCTGCAAAATCTGAACTTGTTTAGCACTTCCTGTTTTTACTTCAGTCTGGCAGGCACCAGCTCAGATACTGACCAAGCATGTCATGTTGAGGATAGCACAGGGATTAATCAACATGTGATGAGACCAGGCACACATTAGCTGCAGAAAGGCTGGATGGCAGGGGGAACAAGCATAAGATTGCCAAAGGGAGAGGTCGCATAGGGGATATGCTACAGAGGATTCAGATGTGAAGTTTAATGGGCTAGAGTACAGTAATGCATAATACACTTGAGATCTGCAATAGAACTACAATATCTTGGTTATCAAATATGTTCAGGGCACAAATTGATAATTTTTTTAAATTATAAAGACATCTAGGGATATGCAGATAATGTGAAAATATAGCAGCATGATAGAAGAACAGTCATGATCTAATAAAAAGCTGAATAACCTCATGGTTCTATTTTAAATGAAAGAAGGAAGAAAGACTGGTATTTATATGATGACTCAAAATGCAGAGCAGCCATGAAGTAGAGTATTGCTATTATAAAATCGGAAACAAAGCAGCCAAATGCACACATTAACCCCTGACAAAGAGTAATGTGTTAATAAGCAGGTAATCTGTTTTTGTAACGTTCATTGAGAAATAAATATGGGCCAGCACACTAGGGATAAGATCCCCTGTTCTTCTTCAAAATAGATCCATGGGATCTATGTCCAGCAATCACTCAGTGCAGCACTGGAGAATTGGTGTCAAGTTTTGTACTTAAGCTTCATGGAGAATTTTGAATCTGGAGTCTTTGACTCAAGAGTGGTACTAATAGAGTCATGGCTGACATAACATGTTTCGTATGAACCTGTAAGTCAGCATAAAGCATACGTTTTCCAGAACATTGAACATTTGTTACACTCATCAGTATTATTCTGCATGGTATATTTTCATATATCAGTGTTGCCAACATAATGCTCTGGTTGTGTCCATTGTTACTATTGAGATGCCTTGCACACATTCATTACCACCAATCTCTCTTACTGGTATTCGTGTAAGTTGTCAATATTAAATGGTGAAGTATGCCTACACAAAGTATTTGGCAGCACAGAAGCTCAGGCTTGATGAACAAAATGGATTTATTATATATAACACAGAGTGCTGGAAAAACTCAACAGGTCTAGAAGCAATCATGAAGAAAGAAACAGAGAAAATGCTCTAAGCCCCAAAATGACTCTTCTTCAGTCCTAAAGAGTTATACTGAACTCAGAATGTTAATTCTTTTTCTCTCTCTACTGATGCTGCAAAACCTGAACTTGTTTAACACTTCCTAGTTTATTTCAGATCTCTCTTATTTCAAAATCAAATCGTGCACTTTGCTTTTATTTATAGGTTTATTACTGGAACTAAATGACAAAAGGTAAAAGACACTCTTGCAACTCTAGCTCTTCCCAGGGAACAGACCTAATTAGCAGAGATTATCTTGTAATATCAATTAACTCTTGCAGATCTCAAGTGTATTATAAAATACTGTACTCTGGCCCATTAAACTTATCATCTGAATCCTCTACAGCATATCCCATATGAGACCTCTCCCTTTGGCAAGCTTAAGCTTGTTCCCCCTGCCCTCCAACTTCGCTGCAGCTAAGCTGTGCCTGGTCTCATCACATGTTGATTAATCCCTGTGCTATCTTCCACATGACAAGCTTGCTTAGTATCTGAGCTGGTGGCTGCTACTGTGAGATAGAATGGCAATGTATTCATCCTCATTTGTTTTTCCTCTTCAATCATTGTCTGAACAACTTCCATTAGATGGAGAAAACCAATTGAGGGTGGGTTGTGATGGGGAGAAATTGTGTGTGAAGTTCATTTGAAATCCATCTGCAGCTTGTGAATCAGAAGAGACTTTGCACAAGGGGAAAAGGAGGATAAGGTATGTTGATACCCTTAACATCAATCCCTTCAGTCTTAACATCTCAATAATATAACTGTAAAGACAAAGTCACCACAATTCTACTAGATCATAGGAGTGATTTCTCATTAGAGAGATACAACTGGTGATGGTTTAACCTGAGGGTCACCACAGCTCAGGTGAGGGGAGGGGTTGAAAAGGTTACCTCATGGGACCCAGAATTGAACAATGCTGTTGGTATTGGTCTGCACTGCAAACTAGCCGCCAAGCCAACTGAGACCAGCAGGTCAGTAATGACCCTTCCCTTAATGGCCAATACTTCCTTCCCCAGGGAGTTGAAATATGCAGTTGAGCTTCTCTCTCTCTCGCTCATTCATTTCTGCTCTTTCCTGTTGTAGGTCACCCTCTCCTGGAAGAATGAAGTGACAGTGAGCACTGTGCAATATGTTTGGATGATGTGGTCAGGCATGAATAGCTGCCAGTGTACGCAAGATGAAGAATTTGAGTAAAACTTGAAGCAATGCGAAGAGCTTGGGCTGGCGCAGACTTTATGAATGTTAGTCTTAGATATTCTTAGACATAAATTTTAGACGTTGTCACTAGATGAGCGATAGATAGCCTCTGACCTACACAGGATACAGGACGTCTTTCTTCCTCTTTTTTCTGAAGCTCCAGTCTAGCATCCAAAAACTCAGTGTGTGCTCTCTCTGCTATGGCCATCCATTGCTACTTCTTCCGGAGCAAAATTTCCAGAATTATTTCAGCCACCACAATGCACATCCCTTTTAAGAATGTAGATGAGCTTTAAATAACATTAGGCAGCAAGGGCATTGAAACACTTGCTGAATCATCCACTATTAATAGAATGGAGATGTTGGTAAGATGTTGGCAATGAACAGACAGCATGAAGTTGGCAGCTTGATTGCAGTGTAATCAATGGAAGCATTTTCACTGCACAATGTAATGCCCATACCTATTTCATTGCAGCTATCCAATTTAACTTGCACGTTGTAATTTGTAAGTTAATATTCTACAAATGAAGAAGAAATCTGCTGTATTATTGTCGAAACTCTAATTGTTTGATAGGGTCCTCAAAGAAAGCAAAACTGAAGTCTCTATTCGGTTTGAAATATGGTTGTTGCAGTTTTGCACTATACAATAAGCCCCTTTGTGCTCTCAGGGAAAGCGGAGATGGGTGACAACGATGCTGCTTTCTCAGTATCACCCACACCGAAAAAGCAAATAATGGAAATCTTAGTTGGGAGTCCATGCCACATATTAGTCACTTCTTTCTGCTGTGATAGCATTTGCAGTTTTAACAACTAGTGGGGGAGTGTGCCTAAGTGTTGTTCGAACAGATGACTAGTCAAATAATCTATTAGATGGATTCATCCCAATTTCAAAGTTGTACTTTTTGGACAAGACTCCAAATGATACAGAAACTGTCCCTTCAGGTTTCTAGGGAAACTAAAATGAAAATTGACTTTGATGCTGCTTCAAACCAGATATGAAAGACAGTCATCAGAGCTCAAATGATTCACTAGGGCACAGCAAGCAGGCTGAAGGAACATGAAAGCTGGATCTCGGAGCCGGGATAAGGAAGTCAAGGTAACTGTCACGGCATCAGTTACTTTACAGGAATAAATTTATCAGCACAGCCATACAATGTACTCAGTTGCCATCAATCTATCATGAGCAAAACTGAGGAGGTTCCAAAATATGCCATTTTGATGAGAGTCATATCTGTGCAACTTGGGATGGATCGTAGCTGCTGCCAGATGATAATCTGTGGCTAAAACCTTGAGGAAAAGGAGTTCAAATTCTAGCTAGAGTCATACAGCAAAGAAACAGACCCTTCAGACCAACAAGTCTGTGCCGACATTATCCCAAACTAAATGAGCCCCACCTGCCTGCACATGACCCATATCCCTCCAAACATTTCTTATTCATGTACTCATCCAAATGTCTTTTAAACATTGTAACTATACCCGCATCCACCACTTCCTCTGAAATTTCATTTGAACCACTCCCTGTGCAAAAAAAGAATTATCTTTGTCATTTTTAAAATCTTTCTCTTCTAACCTTAAAAATATTCCCCCATCTTGAAATCCCTGACCGTAAGGAAAAGACATCTGCCATTCACCTTATCTGTACCTCTCATGGTTTTATAAACCTCTGTAATGGTCACCCCTCAACCTCCTATGTGCCAGTGGACAAATGTCCCAGCCTATCCAGCCTCTCCTTACAACTCAAACCATCCATTCCTGGCAACATCCTTGTAGAAGTTTACAGATTTGAAGGACTTTATGACTGAGATTAATGCCAAATCTGTCAAGTGGACTGTCCAGAAAATCTGAGAGGTTTATCTCTGTTGTATCTATTATCTAATGTATAGTTTATACTGACTTCTATTTTCTTACTAACTCATGCTTAATATATGCTGATTTTGGTTTAATTGCTAAAGTAAGAGTTATAATGGAAGTGAAATCCTATCCATGAAATTTCTCATTGAAACCATTTGGTAAGTTTGGTTCCTTTGGTATGTTGATTCCTGTAAATAAGAACTTTCTGATCTTAGTCTTAAAATGCCTTTTACTTATTTGAACCTCTCCCTCCCTTTTTTATGTTCATAATTGAACAAG